CCCCAAAACCCCAAAACCCCATTGGAGTAGACTTAATCTATATTAATATTTTTGAAATAAATTTGAAATAGATAAATATTTAAGATGATAAAACGAAGGGACATTTTCAAATTCAGCATGAATCTCATCTTGGTTATTACATTTGTGACTATTGGGTTGCATGATCATATTGTGAGTGCCGCAACAAACACGACTAATACTACCACTAATGGCACTGATCCAGATTCTGGTGTAGTTATCGGAAATAAAACTGATGGCCGTGTGTCTGCTAATTATCCTACCGATTTATTATCTTACAGCTCAATAGCTAAAGGTGGCTTTTTGCTCTACTTAATCGGTATAAATTAATCTGATAACTTTAAATAGGGATAATGTACTGCTTCTTAGGCATATCTTTGGTCACATAAAATTACATAAACCCTTCTATTGATATTATCAAGAAAAAGAATGTGGTAAGTCTTAGTTTCATTACTTCATTTTAATACTATGAATATTTATGCTAATTGCCATTTTCTTGTAGCTGTCGTCAGACTCGATGAATGCAACTTTGCTTGCTATGACTAATTCAGCAGCTGAGTCCTTTATTATCATGAATTCAATTTTCTTTGGAGTATCCGATATTGGAATATCAACGATTTGCTAATAAGCTGCTTTCTATTCTTTTATCATCCAGGGAACTTTCTATCTGATTGCAGAAGCAGGAACAAGGATCGATTGGTGGATTATCACAAGAGACACAATTTTCATAATCATTTACTTGATTGTGATCACAGTTTTCCTGAGTCAGAATGATATTGTCATTTGGCAGGCAATCATACTAATCATTCTTTACTTGGTTCACATCATGCTGATGAAGTTTAACAGAATTTATGAAGTAGCAATAAAGAAATCCGTGGCGAGAGCACTTGAAATTCGAGAACTTAATAAAATAGCCGACAAAGAAATCTCGCATTTCCATTAGAATCTCAACACGAGATCACTTTCTATTGAGATGATTAAACAAGTTAACTGCAAAGTAGAAGGAAATTATCTCATTTTTGACAATTATGTCAGAAAGAAGATCAAGCCAATAACATGTGTCAAATTAAGAGAAGGTGGTATCCCTTTCAACCAACTTGATAACAGAGGACTTATGGCTAGAACCATCCTTAAATAGGCAGTTGTTAAGATCATTGTCATGATACAAGCATACAAGTAATTCGAAAAGATTAAGAGGAATTCCAGAAGCACAGTGCCAATTGAAAGGATTCTTCCCTATCTTAAGAACAATAACAGAAATGACTCAGGAAGAGACTCTGATAGTTCAGGATCTTCAGACAATGATGCAGTTTCTAAGAAAAGAGCCGATGAGACTTTGTCAGTTAGGGGCGGTAATAGAACAAACAAAGAGAACTCAGCTCTCTTCAGAAAGAAACAAGGAAGTTAAAAAGGGGATAATGAAGAATCCCAAATGAACAAGAATAGCGATGGCCAGAGCGAAGTAAGTGAGAGCAGAAGAAGTGAGTTTCAAAGCAAGAAAAATTTGAGAGATGAAGATGAATCGAGTAATAAGTCTAACACAGTGGCTTAGAGCTCAATCTATGATCTTATACATGAGACTATAAACAAGGACGCTTTCAGTATTACATTCCCTAAGCAAAGACCATAGAGAATAATTTACATACTGATGATTCCCCTAACTCATCTTCAGTATGTTAGCATTCCTAATCCAATGACCAAGGGCAAATAAAATTTTTATCCCTTGACACTTTTCTGCAGTATTCTTTGGATCTGGTTCTACTCTTGGCTGATTGTGTGGTTTACTTATTCAACCACTGAGGCTTTTCAACTCCATTATTCTATCATCCCTATGATCCTTTATCCTCTCGGTATTTCAATTAGAGATAGAAAGAAGTTTCTAGATTTTAAGAAAACAATTAAAGTATTTAAGGAAGAAAGGGATGATTAGGAAATATCTCTGGCTGAGACATACTCAGGCCCTATATTCTAGATTACAGGACTAGTTGGAATAGCATGGACTATCTTCATTCTATATTCAGGAATTAATGTTTCTTTCTTAAATGAAAGTATAAAGTATCAGATGCCTATGCTTTTGGGAGTGGTAACAGTTAAATATATCTCACTAGCGATTAATAAGTTTAAAACAAGAAAGAATTTGTTTTATTGGAATTGTGGAGGATATGCTGCTTTCCTTATATTAGCAGTGCTAATTGATTACAAAGATGAATTGGTATCTTGATTAATATTTACTTAATTTTCAGCTATTGTTGATTTTACAAATATTCTTTATAATTGCATCATGGGGTTTTGGGGTTTTGGGGTTTTGGGG